TAGTTAAATGAACCACCTAAACGTCACGTTAGTGTAACCTATATAATGTGTAAAGAATAGTATATTCTAATCCCTTATAGTGATGGCACATGACGAGACACACATTCGGCATGTAATGCTGTTTGAATACAAGAAGAAAACAATGCCTCTGTAGCCACAAAAAATATCAAAGAAATGTATGAAAATGCTTTGAATGGTCGTAAGTGTCAGCGATGGTTCAACAAATTTTGTTCATGTGACTTTAGCCTTTAAAACTGTGATGGCAGAGACTGACATGTTGGAAACGATATTGATGCTCTGAAGGCAACACACAATTGAAATGGCCCTTTGCATGTCTCTCATGAAACAATAAGTAGGCATTTAAGGAATATAGAAAAACTCCAGAAAGAAGGTGTTTGGGTGCCTCACGAACCCTCTGATGATCATTGTTTCCAACGTGTCTTCTGGCACGTAATGCACCATTTTCAGACTGAATTTTCACCGGTAATGAAAAATGTATTCCCTATGCGAATATTAAATGCCAAAAACAATGGTGCAGTCCTAGAAAAAACCCACTTCTGATCCCAAAACCTGGACTCCATCCACAAAAAGTGATGCTTTGAACTTGTTGGGACATGAAAGGAGTAATTCATTTTGAACTCCTCAATCCACAGCAAAATGTCAATGCAGAGATCTATAGTTAGCAAATGGAACATTTAAATCAAGTCCTTCATCAGAAACGCCCTTCATTCATTGATCAGAAAGGTGTTCTTCTCCACGACAATGCACGTCTACATGTTGCACGTTTGACACAACACAAGATTAAGGAGTCGGGTTGGGAAGTTCTCCCCCACCCACCATATTCTCCAGATATGACACCATCAGATTACCATTTTTTTTGTTTGTTTGCTGCAACACCATCTTTCTTTAATCAGAGCATTAACAACCTGAATGTAAGATGGAAAAGCATCATCAATAAGAATGGAGATTTTTTTCTATTAATATATGTTTTGTTATACAAGTTGTTCAGGTTTTTTTCATCTAAAAAAAAGTGACATTAATTTCTTGACGACTTAATATAAGCAGCTCATCACAAAACAAAACATGTTTGTAAACAATGGTGAAACACAATATGACAAAGCACGTCATGTGGAGACAGCCTAAATAAAAATATTTCTTGGTTGTTTGCTTCTGACAGGGAGATCTACATGTTTCCATTAAGAAGTGTATTGGAATTCAGTGGTATGGAAATTAACCAATCATTATACTGAATGCCAGTATCACAGCTCGTCACTAAAAGAATTTACAAATATTTTCTTTGTTGTTAAGTAAAACGCTACAAAATGGCTATCTACGTTCTGTCCACAGTATATACTGAAACCCAATAAAAAAGGTACTATACTATGAAGCACTGTTATTCCATAGATAATTCTTTCATTTCAGATAAAGATGAAAACATTATTTTGTGTTGGTCTGCAACACATGAAAGCCTTTAGTCATCTACCCTACCCTAAACAGTTATCCGATACATAATAAAATGTTCTCTTATAATACAAAGTTCCATAATTTCTTATACTGTACTAGCTTCATAACCAAATTCTGCCTTTTCTGATAATCACCGTGTAATGAAACATGTAACATCAGCTGGATCTGTATCCCCTTTTATTTAATTTTATCTCTACTTTGATAAGAAGTTTAACAATGTCAATTTTCTTTTTAAAACTAAGCATTAAGATATAAGACTGCAAAAAGGCTAAAAGTTAATTTGACTAGTGCAGCATTTCTCAATCCATGGATTGTGGCCCAAAATTGGGTCTTCAGAATATGTGAAAGAGTTGCAAAGAGTCTTTGAAAATAGATAATAGTTTACATATTTATTTATTAAGCATTTAGTTAAGTCAGATGTTTTTAAACTAGTTATTTAACCCTTTCACTGCACAATTAATTTTCAGGCTGATTCCCAAAATGTGTCAATTATCCGTCAAAAAATAAAAGTGTGAATTTGACCTTTTGTAAAAAACTATATTCATTGAAAACTGTATTGGATAGTGAAAAATAATGATTTAAACAAAAAATTGAGGAAAAATAGAAAAAAAAAGTGTTACTCCAGTAAATGGCATAAACATAGGCAACACTAAGTCAATAACATCCAGGTTTCACAACTTAGAATACAGATGGCAGCATGCATGCAGGTTTGGCAATTGTTTCAAGTACATGGGGATATTCCCGCATGTCACAATAGAGGGAAACTTTCTTTGTTAGCCATGGGGTAAATCTGAATTTAATAGTCAATGGATATAAATGTTTATTTGGATATGTCCGAACTACGCAGCAAAAGGGTTAATGGGTAATAACTAGACCATCAGTTTATAAATGGGTTGTGAGGATCACTGGACTGGTAAATAAAAGTTCTGGAAAAAAGTCTTCTTTAATAAATAGAATATAACACCCACTAAAGGTCGGGGAAAAATATCAATTGTAAAATTGATAGCAGCACCTCCTACAGGCGAGACAGCAGCACCCAGTAAAAGTACGGTGTAATATCCACAACAGACTTACTGCAGTATACAGTACTTACAGGAAAGGAGGGTTCTGATTTGTCAAAATCCTCAGAGATGCCCATTAAACATAAAAGATCAAGCTACCAACATTCTGTATGTCACAAAGCTCACCATCAGAAAGTCTGATACTGATTATTAGTGTTGGTTCACATAAAACTGTGAGATATTTACCAGATCAATATGTGTTTCATATGAAACCATGGGATGATTATTAGTTCCTATATGGATCACACAAAATTGTGGGATGCTTTCCAGATCATTATTTGTTTCACATAAAATTGTGGGATGATTACCAGATCACTGTGCATTTCACATAAAACTATGTGATGATTAACAAATCACTATGTGGTTCACAAAATTTGTGTGATGCTTATCAGATCATTATATGTTTCACATAAAATTGTGGGATGATTACCAGATCACAATATGGTTCACACAGAAATGTGGGCTGATTACTAGATCATTACGTCATTTACACAAAATTGTGGAATGTTTATGAGATCACTTTGTGTGATGAATCTCTCCACAGAAGGAAACCCATAATTTAATTTACAGTGGGTGTTTTTTTCATTTGATGTTTGTAGATCATGGTTCCATAGTGGTGAAATCTACAATTTCTTAATATATTTATACTTCTTGACAAACAAAATCTGGAAATGAAATATTCTTTCCAATAATATTAGAAGCTTTGTAATGGATTGAACCTTCTACAATTTTTCCAACACAAGAATTGCATTGAAAGCCTTATAAAGGCACTTTGCCAGTCAATATTGAAGGATTAAAGATCAATAACATATTTAATCACACTATACTCTCAAAACGATCTAAACCCCAATATTATATATTATTTAACAACAATTTATATTCTAAGTCTTCTTAATTCATCCATTACAACTTAGTCTGCTTTTCAAACTATGTTTAAGTAGGTTGAATACAAATACATGAACATATTCTCAATCAGTCAAACATGGATTGTACTATATACATATGGGGCTTAGTGTCAGCATTTAAGAATAACAAAGTAACATATTATATACAACATGAGGTTCAAAACTGAACACTTGCATGCTGTGTGACAGTGTTAGCATTTAAGAATAACAAAGTAACATATTATACACAACATGAGGTTTAAAACTGAACACTTGCATGCCTTATATCAGATCATTAGGAGGCAGATCTGATATATGGAGTCCTAGGATGTAGTGGCCACTACAGGATTAATAATGATATCTACTACAATTCGTACCAGACACTTGCACCATCACAGGCAGATCTTTTGTCCAACAGATAAAAAACAGTTTCTGATGTTCCAAATTTAATGATAAACAGAAACAGATCCAGATTTTTTGGATACCACCAAATGGGTAGGTTACAAGAAAGGCTGAGCCAGGATTAAAGTCAAATTCTTGAAACCATAATTTGTAAATTGTAAAAAATATTTTACAAACATCACTTGACAGGATTTAGTGAAATATTAATTTATTGTAAAAAATCTCTTGTGTGAAAAAGATTTATGTTAGTTGCAATATTGTTTACATCACACAAGCAAACAAGTGTAAGAAAATACTTATTTTATGTTAGTGAACAAAGTACAGCTACATTGAGATTATAAGTTTGCAAACTATTACAAGCTATTTCTTCTTAGGTACACAAATAAATTGGATTTGTAAAACAACTATAAAGCAGAGATTTTTGTGGCTGCAAAAAAAATAAAATCAAAGAGAATTAAATATTCAAATTAGAGGATATTTTTTTATTTAAATACATATTACTCAAAGTTAATAGATCATCAACTACAAGAAACTGTATTTTATTTGTTGACTTTCACACAAAGTTATTCAGGGGTTATCTGCATCAGCCAACCCTAATTTTGAAGTATAGACTGGAGGAAGGAAGCTAGTCAAGCATGTTCAAGGACAGATTTCAATCCCATAACCCACAGATTGCAAGCCAAACTTACTAACCACCATCCCATGCTATGCCCCTGCTCTTTCTAATCTGTTTATTAGTATAAGAGTAGAAATACATATTACAACTCCCAATATGAGATGTACAAAGAAGGCCAACATTTTCTCAATTATTCACTATACGAAAATATATTGTATAATCTGTAGTTCTAGTTCAGCCTTGTAAAGACTAGCAATACAAACAGATGTTTCACAATACCCACCATGAGAGGAACTACAGAGGTCAACAGTTTCTAATCGATGCTGGACTCTGTTAGTGTGCTGAATAACTGAAGCTCTCTGTCTTCTCCTCCTTCGGCTTGCAATCATCTAAATCATAAAACCATTTATATTTTTTACTGTTTAGGCATATTGTTTAATGTCTGGAAACAAATTTCTACGGCACTGATACAGAGGATGATACTTAAAACCAAAACAAGTTAAATATTAGAGCATTCTTATTCCTTTGTACTTTTAACTTATTGGAGCATTTTAGTTTACACTATTACCTGACATTTAAATGATTTAAGTGATCATAGTAAAAAGCTGAAATTTTGGAATTTCATAGATCAGCCATGACATGCTTAAAAGAAAGATCTAATGTGATATACCAGTCTATAATTTAGTTCACAAAAATACTTATTAAAAAAAACAGAGATAACAATAGATAATGTAACTTTTTTGAATCAAAACAATCTAGTTCAAATTGGAAGACATTTTAAATATAAACCACAAAATAATAAACAACAGAAGCATCCACCAAAGAAAAGAACTGTGAAAACTAAATGGAAAGAATGACAAACAGAAAAGTCAGCAGAAAATGAGTATCAGCTGATATGAAAAACTGAATAAATTATTGCCTAAAATATGCAATATATGATATAAACATCATAAAACCACATGCCAAAAACATGCAATATGTGATATACACACCATAAAATCACATGCCAAAAACATGCAATATATGATATACACATCATGAAACCACAGGCCAAAAACATGCAATATATGATATAAACATCATAAAAACCACATGCTCAAAACATGCAATATATGATATACACATCATAAAACCACAGGCCAAAAACATGCAATATATGATATACACATGATAAAACCACAGGCCAAAAACATGCAATATATAATATACACATGATAAAACCACAGACCAAAAACATGCAATATATGATATACACATCATAAAATCACAGGCCAAAAACATGCAATATTTAAATTAAGCTATCACCTTTATATAATCCATTCAACAAGTTTATCTTTAAAAGTTAATGTTTAAATGTCAAAAAAGTGGCAAGACAGTACAATTTGATAGGACTAAAAATTGTTATAAAAATCAAATTAACTGCAGAGGTTTTTTTTTACATTCCTTTCAATTTATACTTTGTCACAACAGACAAATTAAGAGTAATATGGGAAAAAAACATGTTGTACAGTTAACTTGAATCATATAAGTTTGTATCTTTAACAACCACAAGTCTGAGAAAGAACTAAGCTTCTAAAGGTCAAACTTTTATTTTATAATTCAAATATCCATTATCTGCACCACATACTAGCATATAGTATAGGTGGTTTACATTCTATATGATCAAGGACAATTGAGAATGTATGTCAGCTTATTATTGTCAAAGAGAAGTTTTGAGAACTTTGTCTCTGCCATAATAGAGATCTCCATGCCTCAGAATGAAGGTGCAATCCTCACAGGTGAAGGTTAAAGTTTAATGTTACCAGCAAACATTCTAATTCACTAATTATTCCCCCATCAGTGCCATTAAAGTAAAGAATAAAAAGTAAAGATGAAAGCACTAACACCTGAAGTACATCACTGATAACAGAGTTCCAGTCTGACTGGTTTCCATTAACAACAGCTTTTTGCTTCTTTTCATCTAACCAATCTTTATCCGAGTTTACTAGCCTTGCCCAAACTTTCACCGATGTGCTTTTCTTTGCTAATCTTCTGTTTTGCACCTTATCAAAATCATTTTGAAGATCTAAGTACATTAAATCCACACCTTTTACATCATTCACATTAAAAAAAATATATCAAAAAGTTAATAAATTAATAAGACAAAACTTCCCTTAAGTGAGTTCATTTTAAAAATTAGAAAAGGTTTGTTAGGGATATGAACCCAGGATTTCTCACAATCAAGGCAAGAATCATACCCTTGGGATAACAAGTTAATAATGCAAATGATGTACAAGTTGAAGTTGAGTGTGTGTGCACACACACTATTATATCAACTATCTATTTTCCATCACCTATTATTTTGTACATATGCTTTTAATACCATTTTACCGATTGTAAAATACATAAACATACATTTGTTATTTGTGGGCTTTTAGCAGAAAGCTTCAGAGGTTCTCTGGGTCAAACAATAAAACTAAAACATTTAATTATTTTGGTTATTTAATGACATATAAAATTAAAAGGGCATATGGCTATTAAGTAACTAAAATTCTGAGCTCAATGGCATCATCATTTCTAATGGCAATAACCAATTTAAAATGGACAACATGAGTAAGTACATTTAAAATAATGCCATGCTAAATGTCATAGTGACAGCATGAAAGTAAAAGGAATACAATAGCAACTTGTCAGATGGCTCACTCATTGGTGAGTCACTCCCTTACAGAAGAAATTGGTGAGTCAAAACTATGGCCAATTTAGAGCCTTGTCACAATACTAGCAAATACTATACAAACCAGATAACACATCACTGGCAGTAAGTCTGATTTAAAAAAGCTTAGTGGGGTTGCTCATCGCCAAAGGAAGGTCAGAAATTGATATATGGAATAGCCACTTGCTCAATGTTTACAGTGGAGGCCAATTCAGCTATAATGACAGCAAGCTCATTCCCTCGCATACAACATCACCTAAAATCCAGAAATATTAGATGGATACAGATGATAAAGAGGAATGGGACAGTGATTTTTGAATGTCCAAGAGAGCTAACTGAGATTTTAAAGTCAAGCAAGTTGGTATGGATTGTAAATTTAATGTACTACTTTGCTTCTATATGATCCAGGACAATTGAGATTGCATACAATCTAGAGGTAAACACAGAAATCTGTAAAGGTGAGTATCAACATAATTTCAGCAAGTCAAAGCAGAGACTACAGAGTAAGATTTGCAACTTAATCAATATAATTACCTATGAGCAACAATCAGATTGATTAGTGTCACATAAGCTAATCGATTACTTTAAATTAATGTTTCCAATCATACCAACAATCAATATTATGACTAAATCATTAGTCATGAAAATAATCAATGGGCAGGATCAAAAATCTTGCTACAAATGTTATATGAAGAAACATGGTGGTATGGACATCTTTGACTTTAAGAAATGGGGGGGGGGGGTTACCCCCCTCCCTCACTTTAAACACTGTATTCAAGTAATGCAAATATTGCCATTATGTTTTTTTATTGTCATGCACAAAGATAAGTAATAGGCTATCTCTTCTCTAACCATATTTTAGCATTATCATAATTCAAATTATAAGTATAATTTGGATGGAAATAACCTTAACAATGTCATGAAAGAAAGGGATCTTGGTGTAATAGTTGATCTGATTTTAGGTTGTATCTACAGAAATATTGAATACAAGTCTAAAGAGGTTATAATTTCATTGTATAGGTCACAGATTAGGCCACATTTGGAATATTATGTTCACTCTTGGGCTCTTTACCTTAGGAAAGACATTGAATTGTTAAAAAGTGTTACTAAAATGGTGCCTGGGATGGAGGGATTGTCATACAAAGAGGTTGAAATCTCTCAAATTGTTTTCTCTTGAAAAAAGAAGAGAGTTAGAGGGAATCTGATTGAGGTGTTTAAGATTGTACAGGGAATTGATAGTGTTGATGCATCATCTTTTTTTTCATACTTTACAGTGAGAATAGTAGGACTAGGGGATATTGGGGAAGCAGTAAATTTAAGTGAGTTTAAAAGAAAGCTCGATAAGTATGTGAATAGGTTGGCTTTAAGATTGTTTTTTATTATTATTTATTAATATTTTTAGTTTCGTTCAGAGTAGGGAACAGCCGAGATGGACCAATAGGTCCCATGTTGTCACAAAATGTTATGTTATTATAAGTTTTTTTAACTGCTAACTAGAGAAAAGACAACTGGCTACTTTTATTTTTTTCATACAGGAGAATGCATGCTATGGTTTAAGGAACACTGTAATAATCAATTAATCAATGAGCCCACCAGTTAATCAATTAGTACATGCCACTAATTTCCCAGTTCTATCCCTGATTAGTTTCTTAACCAATCAAGAAAAGCCAACTAAGACCCTTTAAACCCTTCTAGATTAAAAAAAAGATGACATTTTACCCAGGGGTCTTTTTGATAGTGACCAGGTATGGAAGTGAAGTATGGGTGGCAGATGAGATTGTCACCAGTTTTGAATATGGAGTCTCTTCAAACTCCTACTGGTACAGGTTTTAAGTCAGCCATAAAAAAATATGAAAATTCAGTGCTTACTGACCCCACCCACAGCAGAGTCCTACAAGATGTATTACACCATCGTGTGAAAAATAGTACAGCTATACAAAGAGTACACAGAATTCTGTATTGCTGAAAGCTGAATTTCCACTCAAACTGCAGATCTCCATACTGTACGTGCACATATAAAAATGCAGATTATTACATCATAAAGCAGGACTGACATTTCCAAAATTGCAATAAATGATGATTCTGATATCAATAGTGGTAATTGAAAGTGTATTGCCAAAGCCAATGTGCCAATTTCAGCATAAAAACAAATGCAGCAACAGCACACAGTGTGCACAAATAAAATCAACCAATCACTTCTACACACATAATCATGTATGAGCTATAGCTCAGTTTGGTTGGTTGATACTACATAGCACACAAATAAAATCAACCAATCACTACTACATACATAATCATGTATGAGCTATGGCTCAGTTTGGTTGGTTGATACTACATAGTCAACAAATAAAATCCATCAATCACTACTACACACGTAATCATGTTTGAGCTATGGCTCAGTTTGGTTGATTGATACTACATAGTCAACAAATAAAATCCATCAATCACTACTACACACGTAATCATGTTTGAGCTATGGCTCAGTTTGGTTGATTGATACTACATAATATGCATAATGTATAAGGTGCTTACACCATCAACAATATCAGTAAATTCTACATAGCATATTTCAAAATTATCAAAACAGTCACTCCATTCTTCAGAACTTGGCTCAGATGTGTTTATCATACATTTGTAATATGGCCACACACAACACTACAGATTACATTTAAGAAGTCATGAACCACCTAAACAGACAACATTCCGTGATACAATTCTCAATGAAAAGAGAAATAGATAACAAACACCAATCCCTTTATGTGACAGTTACAAAACACAATTGATGTACCAAAATTTACAGGAAACCCATAGGTATCAGTAAATACCTCATTTATAAATCAGACCACTCAGTGTAAAATACAAGTGTCATAAACTGTCTTGTTTGAAGAAACAAAGAATATGAAAGACATCATTAAAACCATCTTTAACAATGGATATCCAAAACACAATAAAAAAAAAAATACAGAATTAACAGGAAGAAAATTACAGACATACAGCAATATTCCCTTATGTCAAATATCTCTATGATAACATTCAAACCAAACCACCTAAAGACCACATGGAGAGAAAAAAACACCAACAACAACATACCCGTTTATATGGATCCCAAAGTATTTAAGAAACAAAAATATCAACAAAAATTAGAATTCAATAGCATAATACAAACCCAAGGCTTGGTAATACAGATTTATCTGCAATATCCCATCATGCTAGAGAATACCTTACCATAAATGGGAAAAATGCTGAAGTAATAGGATATGTATTGTACATGAAAAAAAAAAAGAAAACTTTTACATCCACCTAACTAATAATTTACACATTCAATCTTCCTAAATAACTCTCTTAAAAACATTCAAAGAGTTAGTTAACTGGTTCAAGTTCTAATAGGGGGAGGTGACAGTCAATAATCTGACATACAAGCCTTCCATCAAGAAGAACCAGGATCAAATACTGGCCACTACCAACATATAAAATAGTTCTGTTTATGGTTTTGTTAAAGACAGCAGCAAAACTAATTAATAATTAGAATTACATATTCATATGGGCTGTTATCCATGATAATAATGTAGATTTTTACTTTTTTCCACTGATAAAATATGTGTCAACTGATAAAAAAAACTTCAACTACAAAGAAAAGAATATGAACAGTCACTGAATTTAAAAATATGTAGAATATATAAAAGTTCAAAAAAATTCCAAAAATAAATGAAATACAAGAGAAAAATATATAATTAAAGATGGGAAACCTGCACCAATCAAAATGCTGTCATTGTCTGATAAGACCAAATATCAATTGAACCCAAAATACTTCCTAATCATAAGCTGATGAATTCTCAGAGTTAGAGAATTAAACAGCAAGAAATATTTCCCTTAAATAACTTTAATATTTATTTCTTTATCATACTTCAATTTTGATTATTACTGCTTAATTCTATATTATCTCTGGGTAATTTTTTATGCTCCAGAAACCTTACTTTTAAGTTTTAGTACGACTCTTGTTTAGAAACTTTTTCTTTTTTTTCACAATAGACTATTTTTTGTTGTGCATTATTTTGTATCTAAAAAAAAAATAAGCTACCCCACTGTAGTCTGTAAATGTAATATTATTACTAACACTCTTACTCTTAGCCCTGAAAGTGAAAAGTGCCTAACAAAATTATGTTATGTTAACAATGAATTATGCCAATGACATTAAAATATAAGTTAAAACTTTCTTATTCGGAGACCTTAGAGTTTAGTTTTACAGTTCAATATGAGTAATGTCATACTCCTAGTCCTATTCGGTATTCGTCATCAATAGGGGACTAAAAGTAAAATGATAATATTAACAATCTCAAATAATAACATTAATATGGACTCACAGAAGTCATTTCAATTCAAAACGTTTCGAAAAAAAAGCTAGTTTTATAAAACAAAATAGAATATTTCAATGTTAAAAGGTACTACTATTATTAACAGTTGACAAAACAGCGAGAGAAAAGAATTCAACAAGCTAATCAACAGGATACAGAATTCCGTTAGGATCTCTCAGAATCCCCCTAAAAAAATCTCCATTTTCATCAATTTTCTCCCATGAACATAAATATGGCGTATTGTTCAAGAATTAAAATGGAAAACGTTATTATTGTATTTTACAGCCTAGTATTAGATGTACTTTAAATGAATATAAGACATGAGGGAGTAAATAAAATTATCAATAAAAAAATATTACATATACGTAGATTTGACTTGAGCTCTTCAAGTGTTACATATCTGCTTGTTTGTTTGTTTCCGGTAGAAATTCTTTCCAAGAATCTTCAAGTCCTTTCTTTATTAAACCAGTTTATTCTTCCTCGATACAAACTTTTAATGCACAGCAGTTCCACAATCAGTACGTTTCTCGCCACTTTAAACATAACAATTTTTATAATACATGCTATAAATCACATCGATTAACAATCTCGATAATTTCGCTCTCGACGAGTGTAAAACACACACTTTACGGCTCACTAGCTTGAAACTAACGGAGTCATAAATTACACAGAACTCAAAGTAACTATTGCTCTCTCTTCATTTATTCATCCATGCCGGCCTTCTCTGCCAGGCTTATATACTGTTGCGTATCTGCTTGTTTGTTAATTTCCGGTATAAATTCTTTCCGAGGAACTTCAGCGATACAAGTCCCTTCTTGATTAAACCAGTTTATTCTTCCTCGATACAAACTATTAATACACAATAATTCCACAGTCAATACGTTTCTCGTCACTTTAAACTTCACAACTTTTATAATACACGCTTTAAATCACAGCGATTGAAAATCTCAATAACTTCGCTACAAGTGCAAAACACACACTTTATATTACCCCACTGGCTTCCCCTACCAGGCTTATATACTAAACAAAAAGGATCGCCAAAATTCGAGGAGTTCCCTGATAATTCGAGAAACTCATTCATGCATGCGATAACAGCGTCACGTGACTTATGCTGTCGTAACACTGCCCCTTCCTTAGTATTGTTACGTCTCCGTTTGTTAATTGATTTTCCGTAACTTCGTTCCGACGAAACTTTAGCGACACAGGTTCTTTACTTAATAAAACTGGTTTATTCTTTCCGAATATAACTCTGCGATACACTTAACCTCAATACTCGCGCTAAAACAACACTGTAACGAACGAACGTTAACTTCAACAATACCCTGTGACTGCAGTTCAATTACTCACTATCTACCCAGACATTACATTCCCCTC